GCAAACCAAGAATTAGGATGAATGTGACTCTGATACCATGATAAGAAATGGACTTAGGGAATAACTCAATCCCAATTGCTAGCTTATAAGATGAGGATTGACCAAGACCATTAAGGAAACAAATTACCACATCCTACACTGATGTGGGACTCTAACACCACTATCTCTACTTGTCTCCTTAACTATTCTTGAATTTTGAGTCTGAAATTCACTTACCATTTGAATCTTTTATTATTCATATTTCATACAACAGTTTGATGTTGTTCCATTTCATTCAGGCACGACATAACAGATTTTGTCCTGTGGCTTACTGAGTTCTGAGTAATTAGTGAATATATATTTATATGTTCTAGGGTATCATGTCATACATTCATTCATAGCCTTGGTCTAAAGTTGTTCTTCCTGAAGCTGTGAATTTCCGTTCAGTAACTGATTGGTGGGTTTCCTTGATGGATATCTGAAGTTGAAGCACATCACTAAAACTGTCATTTTGTGTTGGCCTTTTTCACCAGATTCTATACAAAAGCCGATGTGATAATAGACTAAATGAGATAAGTGCAAGAACTTCTGCTGACAAAAGAGAGGTAAAACTTATTTGAGCATAACAAATTTGCACACGTCCAATGATTTGTGATGTAATAAAATTGACAATTTTACAGGTCGAAGTACTGGCTAAAAAATATGAACAGAAATACAAGCAGGCTGGAGATGTTGCTTCTAAATTGACAATTGAGGAGGCCACGTTTCGGGATATTCAAGTACTACTGTGGCTCTTTCTAGCCCACTGCACTGATACTAACTCTTATGTTCTATTAGCGTCTAGTAAATTGTGCAAATTTAGTAGAGCTTTTGTTGTGATAGTGTTCTGCTGAAACTTTTGCAGGAGAAAAAAATGGAGCTGTATAAAACAATTGTCAAAATGGATCAAGATGGTAAAACTGATGGTATCCAGGTAGTATGTTTTACCACTAATCGATTCGCTGGAGATATCTAGAACTTATCTAAATCCAGTCTCTGGTTTTTGTAGGACCGTGCTAATCAGATTCAGGCTGACCTCGAGGGGCAAGTGAAAACTTTGAATGAACGCTGCAAAACTTATGGGCTACGGGCCAAACCAACTACTCTGCTTGAGCTTCCATTTGGTACTGGCGCTTGTATTTTTGTTGCACTTATATGTGCTTTCATTTAGTTATTTTATGTGTTCTTTGTTCTTGATATCATAAAATCCAGATTAAAAACATTGGTGTAAATTTATTTCTAGCATTTCCTGTTTTTTTTTGGTTTTGAGTTGACCCTATTTGAGTCATTGTTATTTGCGACAAATTTTTGTTCTACTGGCCTGTTTATTTGTTCTTTAAAGTGCCATTTATGTTTTGTTTTTGTTGGCCTTCCTTTTGGCACCTGAGTTCTGTGTAGTACTTAAGTAGGGGTATCTTGCTGGCTGCATTAGGATTTGTTCCAGTTCTGTAGTTTTCTAATCTTGTTGTTTATAAAGATAAAATAGCACCTATTGATCATATGAGGATGTAATCTGTGGCACGTATACTAAAAAGGAGTATTTACATATTTTAGTTTCTTTAATGAAACCTATTCCTTTATATTTAAGTCTTGTGTATCTGGATCATGAGTTGGGGCTAATTCTGATGTTCAAGAGATGTGTGTGTTCATCTAATAGTCAGGACGTCGGTTGGAAAAATGGGATAGCATGCCATTTTGATGACTCTTGTATTTTCTTACCTGAGCTGTCTGGTTTTTAATTGCTTTACTTTTTTAATGTTTCTGACATATTAGTAATAATTTTATAGGTTGGCAACCTGGCATCCAAGAGGGGGCAGCAGACTGGGATGGAGAGTGGGATAAATTTGACGATGAAGGTACGTCGTAAGATATATATTTAATCAAAAGACAGATATTCTCCCTGAAAAGGAGGTGATCCAGCCCCACCTTCCAGTACGGCTACCTTGTTACGATCAAAGTGCCTCCAGAGACCACCTGATCAGCTTCTGTCATTTTTAGATAAAAAAACTTAACTTTCATAGTGCCTTCAGAGATGACTGAATCAACTTTTTCTCCTCCCTAAACTTTGAGCAATTCTATTATTAACTTTTTCAAGTTTTTCAAAAATTTAAACTCATTGCATTGTTTAATAATTGTCCTCCGCAGAATTCACATTTGTGAAAGAGCTCAATCTTGACGTACAAAATGTCATTGCCCCTCCTAAACCAAAATCTTCACTGGTTCGGGAGAAAGCATCTTCTTTAAATGACCATGATACTGCAAAATCATCTGCTGATGCTGTCACTGATGCAAAGTCAGAGAAGTTGCCAAGCCCTGTAAAAGCCAGAGTGATGAGTGATGTGGAGACTGCCCATACAGCAATAAGTTCAACTAATAGTCCAACCAGGAGTAATGCAGTTGAGAGTCCATCAAAGGAATTTGAAGAATCACTGAATAGGAAGGACGGTACTTTTGATGGTTCTCCCCATGCTGCCCAAAGGTAATGTGGTTGTTTTCATCCTTCTTTTTTGGTGATTTAATCTACAGTGTTGTTATGCTCTCCAAATATTGAAAGATCTTTTCTGTTATTCAATTGTATTCTTTGATGGATTCAGTTTCTCTTAACTGGTAACTCTTCTAGAAATTTGAACTTCTGTATTACTAGTGCAGTGAACACTGGGGAGCTGAATCTGTGTTCTCTGGGGACAAAAGTTTTGATGAATCTGGTTGGGGTACATTTGATACAGACCATGATGCAGATGCTGCGTGGGACATCAATTCTGCTGCTAAGGTAAATGGATACATCTTCATTTTAGTTAAAAAAAAAAAGAAAAAAAGAAGAAGAAGAGGCAAATGGATACATTTACATGTTCATTTATTCACTTTTTCGATTACTATGCTATAGGAAAATAATTGTCAGGGTCAATCATCAATGGTTCTTTGAACTACAACCTTTTCTGAAGCATCTCTTTGCCATTTTTTTTTATTTTTTTTGGCGGCTGGGGGGGGGGCTCACTGCATCTTCTGGTGCATCTTGGTCTAGGCAATTGTCTAATTATCGGTGATATGATTGGAATAATTTGTTTCTCATTGGCTCAGTTGAAGTAGCATTTCATATTTTGCTTCTTTTCTGTGATTTTGCAGGATTCTCGTGATGAGAAGCACAAGGAAACTTCTCTTTTTGATGACGACGACTGGGGCCTGAAGCCCATAAAAACGGGATCCACAAATTCCAGCAACTCGTTCCCGAAGCAAGCCCCATTTTTCGATTCTGTTCCTAGCACCCCTAGTTATAATACTGGGTTTAGTTACTCAGAGAACCAGTTCCCAAAGCAAAGCCCATTCTTTGATTCTGTTCCAAGCACACCAAGTAACAACTCTGGATTCCCACAGGGAGACAACTTGTTCTCTAGACCAAGTCCCTTCTTTGATTCTGTTCCCAGCACACCGGCCTATAACTCAGGTGGCTCGCCTGTTGCTGACAACATGTTCCAGAAAAAGAGTCCATTTTCCTTTGCGGACTCGGTTCCAGGCACACCTATGCTTAGCTCTACCAACTCACCTCGAAGATCTAATGAATTGTCTGAAGATCACTTGAACAGCTTTTCCAGATATGATTCATTCAACATGCAAGATGGTGGCCTCTTTGGTAGTCGTGAATTTTCAAGATTTGATTCCATGCGCAGCACCAGAGACTCTGAATACGATAATGGTTCATTCCAGCGGCCTGATTCCTTTGCTCGGTTTGATTCATTCCGCAGCACAGCAGACTCTGATTATAATTTTGGAGCCTTTCCAGCTCGCGAGTCACTATCAAGGTTTGATTCCATCCGTAGCAGCAGGGACTCAGATTATGGTCATGGTTTCCCATCTTTTGATGATGCTGATCCATTTGGGTCTCATGAGCCATTTAAGACATCTGCGGAGAATCAGACACCAAAGAGAGATTCTGATAATTGGAAAGCATTTTAATATGGTAATGGATTTCCTTACTCTGGATGCGATCTCTTTCTCTTTTCTTTTTTCCTCCATTTAAAACTATTTTTGGCCAGGTTTTTAGGTTGTAGGGATAGTGAATTGGTTGTGATTAGATAGTCTTTCCGTGTGGAATGAGGTAGCATTATGATAGGTTGTACTCCCTAATATTATTTCATTAGCTATTTTTTTTTGTTTTTAGCCAGGGGGTTTATTTTGACCTTTTCCTTTCTTGCATTAATTCTTCGAACGTCAAGGTGAACAGAACTTATGTTGTGTTCACCCATACCCATATTCAATGTATAAAAACTTGTAAAATGGTCTTTTCATTTTTGTTAACTGCCATTTCAGAGATAATCTAGTCCAAAGTGATTTTTTCCCACTCGACTGCCAGAGTGCCAGTTATTATGATAATAGTTGATTGAGGATTGTGGTAGGATCATATACATCACATGTATTCATTTCACATAATTTGGCATTCAAATGATTTTTGACTGTTGTAATATGATTATGTTAGCCGAGGGTCTTTCGGAAACAACTTTTCTACCTGGTAAGGTTTGCGTACATTCTACCCTTCCTAGATTCCACTTGTGGAATTTCATTCTGAGTATGTTGTTGTTATATGTCAATGCTGATTGCCTATCACAACCTTGTCTTTTGTTCGAACTTGGAACTGGTTCAAGAAATTTACAGAGACTACTACTAACCCTCACTAAATTTTTCTTGGATAACTAGTAGAATCCCTGATGGAACAATCAAATTCAATACAAGCAGGTCGGAACTTGAGGAAAACTTATTCTCATAGGAGAATCAGTCTGATCTTATTATACACATACACAATTTATAATTATTTTTTCCTGCATATGCAACGAGTTCTATTGAACCCACGATTCATCAATGCTGACTCAATGACATGACAAAAGTAAATATGTCCTTGGGAGTAACTTGAACTCAACCTAAGCCAGAGAGTACGCGATATATGTCTAAGGATTCAATTAAATTGTAATGTGAAGCAAGTAGCCAGCCATCTTCAAGCTTTGACTCCAAAAATCTCCAACATGGAAGAGTAAGTTCCATAGACTGCAAGAACTGCACCCATTAAAACAAGTGCAGCATCAAAAGCCAAACCATGCCAGCTTAGCTCTTTGTTGAACACAATTAAGTGAAACATAGCAGGCAACACAATGCCAAGAACAATACACACACTGCTCCCAACTAGTGACAAGAAATCAGCAAAATTTGGCACCTTCAATGCCACTAAAGTGACTGCCAAAACCATTATCCATCTCAGCCACAAAGAGTATCTTCCTTCACAAAATCTTCTTTCCATCACTTCATAAACAGGGTTCATCATAAGTGGGAAAGATAAAAATAGATTTATGCATAGTCCAATCTGCACTAAGGTGCTTAACAATCCCCTCCCAAGATTAGTAGTGATTATATCTTTGGTCTCTTCACCAAAGGCAAAATAACCCAATACTCCAAAAGAACCATACATCAAAGAAATGAAAACCATGGACAAACCCAAAATTTTCCCAAATTTGTCCTTGTCTTTCATCTCTGCTTCCAAAGGTAAAACCATTCCAACACCTTCAAAAGCATAGATAGATACACCAAGACCATAGAAGAAAACACTAAACCCACCAAATGCTTCAAGAACTGGTCTATTCTTGAGAAAAATCAACACATCCTCAACCATAATAACCCCCATAGCACCCAAATCAACAACATCAGCAAATATACTCAAAGGGGCTAAATGGGTGAGTGTAGGAATTGAATTCAACCCCAACTGAAATGGGAAACAACTCCAAATATACACCTTTTTAGGTGACAAACCCAAGATTTTGGGATTTGAATAATTGAACAAGTGTGCTAAAGTATTGGCTATAAAAATCAAGTAACTGATGCAAAAACCAGCTTGGGAAAGAACAATCATAGCATCAACAGTACATCTACCTATGGATCCACAAACAGCATATCCCAAATCACCAAAAGATGAAATCTTGATAACTTTGTAATGGGATTCAAGCTTACGCCTCGAATAGATCAGGAGCATCATACAATAGTAAGTAAGAGAGGATACTGATAAAAGCATTAGAGAACCCATAATCCATCCTGTTTTCTTGAAGCTATAAGGAAGGCCAAGAACTCCAGCTCCAACTACTGCTATGAAAACATTAGCAAAAGTTTTGGAGGATGAAGAAAGGTGTTGGGTGTTTGCTAAAAGTGGTGTATCTTCTCTTGGGATTCGCAGAACATGGGAAGATGAACTTGCTCTGTTTTTACCAAACCCCATTGTACCAAATGAAATCAAGAATCCAATTTTAAGTTGAAAAAACCAGAAAAGATCAAAACTTTATTGATTTTAACTACTCAATAGTAGATTTGCAGATGAAATAGTAGTGTTAGAAAATGTTTGAGTTTGTTTGACAGTTAGAAAATAGTGTGTCGTGGAGTTGAGAGGGAGTTTTAAAGATGAGAAAATGGCTGGCGGATTTTACAGTTTCGAGAAAATTGCAGAAGACCAGATTTTTAAACGGAAAAATCTGTGAAAACAAGACAGATGGTCGGTTGTAAGAGGTTGTTTTGAAGGGTTTAAGTGTTTTTAGTTTTTTTTTTTTTTTTTTTTTTTGTGTTAATAGAGTTTAAGTTTAGTTAGTTGGGTTTAAGCGTCTCATTCGTTAGAATTTTCATTTTGAGAAAATATTAAATAATCAAATAACTGTAAAGCATGCTAAATATTTTTCTGAAAATAAAAAGTAAGTTTTACGACAACAAAAAAAGAAATCAGAATAGCTAAAGAGTTGCTCACTAGAATTGTGTAGAACACACATTTTCTCAAAGTAGCTACTCAATTGTTGTTGCCACATCAATCCTTTTCATTATTTAGATAAATGAAAATTGTCATCTTTATTCTTCAGAATGGTTGCTATTTTTGTATTTGTTTTCGTCCTCTTCAATATCTGTCATTTATTTCTGTATTTGGACAAAATTATAAGTTCTTCCGTCCCAATTTATGTGACACTTTTCATTTTTCGAGAATTAAACAATTTAAGCGCTCGTTTGGCCATGCGATATGGAATCATGATATGAAATCATGAGATGAAATTGAAGTTTTGTTTGGACATGCGATGTGAAATTTTTGTGTTGTATATTTTCTCATAAACATAAAAATTTCATAAGTTGTAAAACTATTAAAATAGCCCCAATTGTTTATTCAATCTTATCAAATAAACAAAAAATTATAAAATCGCATAATAAATTATTACAAAGCTATTTGTTCTCCACTTAAGTAATTGTTTCATCTAACTTTAATTTCATAAAAAAAAATTGAACATAAATTATAGTGTACTAGTCTTTAATATAATCCTCCCACATAGTACGGACAATTTCCTCACGTTGAACTTGTATTTCTCGATCATGTGACCGAGAAGACGAACTAACATTGTTACTTTGAGCCATTTGTTGGTCAATATCATCCGCAACTATATCTTCATGCTCATAGACCATAAATATTTCACCAGTACTTTGGTATTCTCACAAATAATTATGTAACACTGCATAAGCTATGACATTTTTCACTTGTGTATCAATATCATAATGGTTCATGCCTTATTTCAGTATTTCAAATCTATTATTCCAAGCTCCAAAAGTCCGTTTAATCACATTGCGCAGAGATGAATGCCTATAATTAAACAGTTCTTTGGCATTTTGATGCTCTCTTTCATTTCTTTAGTAATCTTGCAAATGATAGCGTAGTCCTTTATATGGAGCTAAAAATCTTTTTGTGTTTCAGAAACCAGCATTAACAACATAATGTTTATCTACCAACAAACATTTTAAAAAGAATTACTAAAAGCATATGTGACGTATATGAGACAACTTTGTGTAAATAAATAATATTTATTCTAAGGACGTAATTTAAAGTTACCATGTGGCGGAAATGAAAATTGTGACGTTGGTTCAACAAGTGCATTCTCAAGTATTTTACTATCATGTGCAGTACCTTCCCAATCAACAGCAACAAATGTAAATCGCATATCAAAATCACAAGCACATAAGACATTTTGTGATGTTCTTCCTTTGCGATTACGATATGCTTGTTGCACCACTTTAGGAAGCTCCCCTTCTATATATGTTCCATCAATCGAACCAACACTATATGTTGGTGAGAATAATAAATTTTATGTTGGTGAGAATAATAAATTTTAAAAAGTAATGTTGTGATTATAAATTTTATTTACATATGAAATAAATGGTTAGTATATATAAATGTAGGGTTGTTTTAACAAAATATAAACTCGTGGATCAATTTTTATATTAAAATATATCAAATCATGATATGGAATTCCCATATAATTCCATATCATGGCTTTTGGAGAATATGGTATCACATCTCATGATATGGAATCATGAGATGGAATCAGTGTAAAATCGCATGTCCAAACGATGATTCCATCTCATGATACCATATCATGATATGGTATCGCATGGCCAAACTCCTACTAAGTTTGATCAAGAATTTACCCCTGGAATCTTCAAATTTTTGAAATGAAATTTATATATGTGTGAACTACGTAAAAAGTACTATAATTAATAATTTAAAATGTTTAAAAGATGTATAAAAAACTTATGATTAAAGATAGACTTGTTTGAATCTCGAAATCTGAAAGTGCCACCTAAAATGGGACAGAGAAAGTAGTTCTTTTATTTTTTGAGAGAGAGATGTAAGCAGAAGGTATAACATATGAGTGATCTTGACCACACTCCTTTATTTTTCATCTAGAAATGAGTATTGAGAAGTACCCTTTGAATTAGTTTAAGTTTGTTGAGAATGAGTAGATAATTATGTATGTTTGGGAATTTATCTTATAATATCATTTTTGTTTTTTAGGATCATAATATCACCTGATTATTTCAACTTTTCCTCAAAATATATTGCTCTTTCCTAATGAATTATCATGAAAAAACAGAGCAACAATGTAACTAAGAAGGGTTTTTCCTTTTACTATAATATATTCTTATCTTTGAAATCCTCTCTTTCAACTGCTAAAGTTCAAGATTCGTAATACCTGATTGAAATAAGGAAATGTCATTGCTAATACCCTAACTCTTCATCAGACTGCAACAAAAAAGAGAGCTAAGATTGGGTACACTCATCCAATGGCGAAGCTAGGAATTTTATGAAGGGTGTCCATATATTACATAAGTAATTTTTTTTCGATGAATGGATGCATTGAAGAAATTAAAATTGAACTACATAATATTAATATTACTTTTTTTTTACAAATAAATGTTCCAAAATTTTGAAAATCAAACTGCATATTATTTAGCTTAATATTTGTGTTTAATTTTGTAACACCCCAGAAAAAAATTTCGAATTAAGACTCGAACCGTTCTTCGTAGTGAATGAGATTTTACCAAGGAATTAAAAATTTCTTAAGTGTTAAGGTCACTATATGTAGCACCTTGAGTTCCAAAAAGAATTAAATTGGAAATAGCAAAATCTGAAATTTTGCAAGTTAAGCTAAGTATGAGTTTTGGGTCGACTTCAAACGACCATAACTTCTATATCAATATGAGTTACGTGTGATACCAGATACCGTAGGGAAAATATTTGAATTATCTTTCCAACGCCACCGAGTTTTCTCAGTTTCGAGTTCGTATGAGGGAGATATGTCCATTCGAAGTTGGGCTGTCTAGATAAGGAAAGTCAAAACCGGATTTTAGAGGGGTATTTTGGTCTTTTCCTTACCCAATCAGATTTAATTCGTTTTTAGTAATATTTTAGGGGTCTAATATGATTAGGTTCAGTTTTATAATCCTAATATACGCCTAGGTTTTTAGTTGAGAGTTCAAGAAGAGAAAAGAAGAAGAGATAAGAGGATAAAAGAGAAAGGATCGAAGTGTTCGTCGAAATTCTTGAGAGTTGTTGCGGATTGTCGCCATGGGTTTGATCCCTAAGAGGTATGTAGCTTCCATAGTGATGGGTTTCTTCACCCACATGCCAAACATATTATTTTCAACGAAGTTTCATTCTCAAAAAAAGTTGAAGGATTTAAGTTCTTGATATGTGTTCTTGAAGTTCATTTTAAATCTTGTTTTGTTGGGGTTTTGATGATATCTTGAGATTAAAGTGATTGTTTTGAGTGGATTAGTGTGTACTTAGGTTGGGTGATTGAATCTAAGGAAAACTTGAGAGAAGAAATCGATTAAAATCGATTTAAGATCAGAAAATGAGACTAAAAGTTCGTCAAATTTTTGCCTAAGGAACAGGTAGCGCGATGCGCCCCCATAGCGCCAGGAAGGCTGGGGTGGCGCGCCAGATTTGAGCCCCAGTAAGCTGGGACTGGCGCCAGGATGCGCCCAGGATGCCCCAGATCGTCATTTTTCACCAGTTTTTCATCATTCAGTCTGTTTAAGTCTTTCTAAAGTGTTTTAGCACTTCCTATTGATTCTAACTACTCTAAATGACTTCTAAACATCTAGAAATCATCCAGAAACATGAATCATAACCTTGAATTCATAATTCAAATTCAAGGTAGAGTTGAGAGTTAAGTTTTGAGAATTCTTTCGAACATTCTAAGAAAGTCCCTTTGAGTCATTTTGTGGAGTCTTCTACAACTTCTAGTAACTTGTTTCAAGACTCGAGTAAGTGAGTATGAGAGTGAGAATAATGTATTCATGAGTCTACCTTGTCCTCATGAGATCTTTCTTATCATGAACTATAACTCTTGAATTCATAATTCACATTCAAGAGAGAGTTAAGAGTAGAGTTCAAGAAAACATTTAAGTTCAATTGTGAATCCTTTGAGATCAACTATCGATTTGAACTAAGTTTTGAGGAAGTAAGTCAGAGAATAAGAAGAGTCGTATACATGAGTTCCATATAGTTATGTAGACCATCGAGTCGAGTTGTTTCATGCCCATAATTTCGCATAAACTTCGTAAGTTGAGCATCTTTCAGAGAAGTGGTATCTTCAAGTTCTAAGCCTTTAAGTGTTGAGTTCCTAATCCCTTTTGAGAAGCATCTTTGAGTACTTGAGTTGAATATTTCATGCCCATAATTCCGCATGAATACTATAAGTCGAAAAATCTTGAGATGAGTAGTATCATTGAAGTTCTTGAGTTCCAAGTATTGAGTTCTATCTATGGTTATTGAAAACCTTGCATTGAGTCGTTCATGTCCATCATTCGGCAGGAACCATATTTTAAGAAGTCTTTTACAAATGTTTAAACTTTGTTTTAAGACTTAAGCTTTGAAATTGAGTAATGAGTAAGAGTAAAGTTCATTTTCTTTAAAATGATATATGGGAACTAAGTATTCCCAAG